AAAAATTTTTTTTGTTGTTGGGGGGGGGGGGGGGGGGGGGCAGGAAACAGTAATATCGGGTCCTATTATAGAGGGGTCTGACGCCACGGGAGGGATGTTTTAGGTTCTTGATTGAACCATGACATCGTCTGCCCTCCCCCTGACCTGACGGGCAAGGGGAGACGGAAAGTTTTCCGGGCGAGAGCGTAGCAACATTATACATGTACGCAAGTAATAGGAGATGCACTTTTCGGCGCGGCGGGAGAAACCGCACAGGCACCCGCTCGTTTTGATTGGCTTGCTCTCTCTCTCTCTCTCTTGCTTTTTGTTTTTGAGCCTAGCTTTTACCGACGGGAAGGAAATAACAAAAAACATGGGCCAACGTTTACCAGATGCTTATATTTTTTTTACACGCCGCATTGACTCGGGCACAGTAGTGTTGGCGTCAAGAGAAGATCATCGGGCTGCGGGCGGTGGGTGGGCGCGTAGTGTTTCAGTTGTTTTGTGTATCACGTTGTGTTCGCTTCGCATGCTGTGTTGTTTTTTTGTCGCGGGGTGTCAAGAGTATCATGGTAGTATAGCAGTAAAAGAGAGATGTCTATATTCTGTCGGAGTTATCGTGTAGCATAGTGGGGTGGGTAGGTGAAGCTCGTGTTGTGGGTGGTGTTCTGTGTGCGTGTATTGTGTGTTGCACGTTTCAAGTCCCAAGTACTTTTTTTTTTTGTCTTACTTCAAAGTTTGATTCTTGTTAGTTGTGCCTGTCATGACGCACACGCATCAGTCACCCTGCGGTGACCTCTGCTCCTTCGCGACGGGAGAAATTCGCAAGCTCAAAGCATACTCATGCTTTTATCGTTGCGCCACGCAGTAGTAGCTACTATCGCTCGAGTTACATGGACGCCTGCCTGGCCCCAAGTAAATACACTGCAGCATACACGTGTGTAGAGTTACTGCTGTGGGTCGGTCGTGTCCCAAGGCGGCGGGGTGCCCTCGTCAGCGGGGGGTTCGTGGCGTTCGCGGGCCGACGACGGGGGGGGTGTACTCATAGTCGTGCATGCCGTAGTCGTTAGACCATTGACCTCGCATCCCTACAAAGCCGGGACGGATCACGCCGGGTTCTCACCGGACCAGGCTCTCACATCACCAAGCGCGAAGCGCCGTGAGGTATTCGGCGAGTCGCATGAAGGGTGCGCTGCATCCTGCTAAGGGTGTTCGGCATCTTGTGCTTACTTCCTTGCCTACGGATGACAGCTGGGTACAGTAGGTGGCCCGATATAGTGGCAACCTGAATAGTAAAGTGCCCGATATAGTGGCATGGAAATCTCCTGGCAAAATCTCAACCCGATATAGTGGCACTTTGCCACTTTTGAGGACGGGGCCCTCAATAGTGGCATTTCGGGCATCACACACACCCAATAGTGGCAGTTCCAACTAGTGGGCCCCCACTACTGCTGTACCACCCCACACCTGCCCACACACACTCTCAGCAGTGGGCGCCACACGTATCATGCTAGTCTGCGCGGACCAAGAACTGTGTAAACTCCCAAACCGACCACTGGGAGAGAAAGATGGGCACGAGTGTCGTCTTGGCTGCGGTGGCAGGCTTCATCGGCGTCCGCGACGCGGCGTCCGGGCCGGGCGTGCAGGACTCAGAGTTGGTAGAGGTTCTGGCGAATCCTAACATCGCCCCGGGCGCGCCTGCTCCCCCCACGGCCATCAAGGCCGTGGAGGCATGGGCCGGGTTGGAGGAGCAACCCGAGTTTGCTGAAACTCTGTCTGAAGACGCAAAGGAGATTTTCATGGAAAAGGTTAACAACACTTTCAAGGAGGACGAATACATTTCTGACGACGACGACGAGCTAGACAGCACCGAAGATTCTGAGAGTGCGGGGGGTGGTGGGAAGAAGGCGCCGCCGTCGTTCGCGGAGCTGGCTGAATTTTTGGTCCTCTAGAACAATACGCAGAGTCGTGTGGCATTGGTGACGCCGGGCACTTTCTCCGCAAGGCGAAAATGGCATTCTTGGCAGCTACATTCGCTAGACCGGCACGGCAGTTGGACATTAGAGTGTTTGCCGACTCGTAGTGCAATCAGTCGGCTGACGCCTACAGTTGCAGAGCATCGTGGTGGTTGGATTGATGCGCCGGTGTGGGGGTGTTTGATTTTTCTAGTGCTGTAGGGCTGTTTCAGTTAGTTTCGCGTCTCTACGTTGCTGTTTTCATGCGTTCTACACGTAGTGTTGAACCCCGTGTTACACTGCCCGCCGGACAAAAAAAAATGATGTGCCACCTATGATACCATGCGTTTGGACGTGGTGTGGTCTGCCTGCACAGAAAAAACAGGTCTTGACCACAGAAGGCTCGGTAACCGTTGGATAATCAACGGCCATTTCATGTGTTTCATGCGGATACTGCTGCACACAAATACACCACGAGGAGTGGAACAGTATACACGGCTTTACAGCGCATAATGAGTGTACAGCGTGAACATCGAAGCTCTTTATTCGATATAGTGGCACTATTGCCACTATCGACTGTCTAATAGTGGCAATTGTGCCACTATATCGAATAGTGGCACTGCCCTGAATAGTGGCACAATTCTGTCTGGCCACTATATGCCACTATATCGGGCCACCTACTGTATGACTTAATTTATTTTTTGGTGTTTCACTTCCAGAGACAGTAATAAGCACTGTGTATCTGCCTCGAGGGTGCTTGACCAATCTTAACACAACGTGCGATTATCCACTTTGCGCGGAGTCAGGGTTCTCGACGCCGCACAACATAATCTACTCGAGCACCATTCATTGTGGTTACCGCAAAAAAAAAACCGAAGACAAAAAAAAAAGGGGTAACCTGGGTGCTGAGTTCACGAAGTGATTGGCTGGTTTTACAACATCGCTGCCAAGCGACGAAAACCCAACCCCGATGGCAAACACCGGGCGGGGCGGCTTGTTTTACAACGTCGTTGCCAAGCGACGAAAACCCAACCCCGACGGCAAACACCGGGGGGCGGCGGCTTGTTTTACAACGTCGTTGCCAAGCGACGAAAACCCAACCCCGATGGTAAACACCGGGGGGGGCGGGGGGGGGTGTACTCATAGTCGTGCACGCCGTAGTCGTTAGACCATTGACCTCGCATCCCTACAAAGCCGGGGCGCAGCACGCCGGGTTCTCACCGGACCAGGCTCTCACATCACCAAGCGCGAAGCGCCGTGAGGTATTCGGCGAGTCGCATGAAGGGTGCGCTGCATCCTGCTAAGGGTGTTCGGCATCTTGTGCTAACTTCCTTGCGTACGGATGACAGCTGGGTATGACTTAATTTATTTTCTGGTGCGTTCACTTCCAGAGACAATTGTAAGCTCTGTGTAAGTGCCTCGAGGGTGTTTGACCATTTTAACACAACGTGTGATTATCCCCTTTGCGCGGAGTGAGGGTTCTCCACCCCGCACAACATAATCTACTCGACCACCATTCGGGGGGGGCGGGGGGCGTACTCTTATGTTTTGCATGTCTTAGCGGTTAGATCATTGACCACGCGTCCTCGAGAGGACGGAGCATTGTTCCCACAGGAGGACCGATCACCGATGGCCAATCGTTCCTTCCTACTTTGCCAAAGGTGGCTCAAAAATGTCTTCCCTAGTCTGTCTATCCTAACGATATCCCTTCCCGCCTTTTCAAACCACTTCCTACTCCCCAGTACAGCTACCGTCCTCTCCTCTCTATTCCATGCCTCAAGCATCTCCCTGTAGTCTACGTCCCTTCAGACAGGCCATTTCTGTCCGGATTTGGGTAGAGTCGACTCTTTTATTCTTATATCGAAATGTGATTTCGAGATCTGATTTCTTCGTTAAGACCGACCCTTATTTTTGTACAGACATCACTTCAGACAGCACGCTTTAGTGGACAACATTTTGGTGAAGTGCGGGACAAGGGGGGTGATGCCGCTGCTGTAGTCGAATTGTAGTGTGTGGGCGTGTAGTTCAGTTGTGAGCACGCAAACGTGCTGCAGGGATTGATTATAGGTGTACCTCCTCGGGCTTGTGTACCCTTTTCTTGCTAACTATTAGTGTGCGTGTTCCTTAGATCTTGTGATGGCTCTAGCATTTTTGTGACCACGGGCCGAGTCTTTGTCAGATTATGGGATTAGCAGCTGACACGAGTTTAACGTGAAGAAAACAACAACAACAACAACAACAACAACATTATGTTGCGTTGTTGGTGCAGACCTTCGCTCGATGGTTGGTACCACAGAAAATCTATGGTTGGTACCACAGAAATATTTAACGATCGACACGACGCGTAATTTCTTTAGGTTATTTATGTAGATGATGCAGATAGATGCATGCATCCAAGCGAGGGTGTGTAGTCTACAATTCATTCAATCGGTTAGGCCTCCTATACCGCAGCGCATGCATTGCATGCAGCGTTGCTCCCCGAGGTCCACCCCAATTTCTGAGATTTCTGGCTGGTGTCAAGTGGAAGGAGAGCTACATACAGCAGCCTAAAGACATAATATTCTGTAGGTACAAGCTTGGTAGGTGCAACATTTTAAAGCGAGCGGTATCCAGCACCTTATAGCAGATGCCACGTTGACTGCCGGCAAGGACTCCCTCATCGCGTGCTGTCGGATGCTGTCGGGTGCTGCGCGCGAAAAAGATCCCCGACCTACCTGCCTGGTTGGGCGGTCTCATCGGGGTAATCAGTACCTCACAACACACGACGCATAGTCTACACATGGCATGATGAGGCAAGAAAGACACACACACACCCCTCTCGGGGTCCCAGTTCATGGCAGATAGAAGTGTTAGTGTTTTGTGTTTTCAACCGCACTAAGGCTGACGTCTTTTCATTGGTCAGCCGGTTAGCGCGGTCGATGCTAATAACTAAGGCACGCACACACACAAGAGAGAGAGAGAGAGAGAGAGAGAGAGACGGACGCACACACACAAGAGAGAGAGAGAGAGAGAGAGAGAGAGAGAGAGAGAGAGAGAGAGAGAGAGAGACGGACCTAAAAGTCTGCACAAACCGACCGATCCGAAAGCATTAGCACGCACAGCCGCGCACCGCAGCTCTTATTTTCCGAGGGCAGTTGCTCTTCTTGTTGTTGTGCACAACGGATTGTTTCCCTGGTGGGAGGAGGAAAATATTTGTATGATAATAACGGGTAGACTTGGCGGTGCACCATGTATGTAGTCTAGTGGTGATCATGTGATGCTCCTCCACGCTAACACCGACAGCCAGTAGAAGACACGCACCAGGAAAGCAGCGACCTACTTCCTTCATATGTACGCCTCGCCCAATCTCATCATAACATCACAACAGCAATCCTTCACCCACAGCAATCTGAAATCTACAAGAAATCTGCTCGATCGCAACATCACAACCAAGGTGATGCCACTGCCGAAACACAGCTTGCCCGTCCGTGTTTCATTTTTCTCCCCTCTTGCAGTAGCTGCTTCCCTCCCCCACTTACCTGTGCCACACAAACAGGAGATCTGCTCCGTGCCCCCGCCTCGCCTTCGCACCCCTCGCCTGTGACGCCGGGCTTGTTTTCAGTGCGTCGCCCGTTGCGGTGTGTGTGGAGACTACATACATGTAGGAGACCAGCGTGTGTGGAACCCAAGGGCACGAAACAGAGCGAGAGGGCCGATACTGGAACAACAGCGTATGTACAGATTTTCAGTCGTGTGCTTCGAAGGCAGCAGCAGCAGGCACGCCGCAAGGGCAAGGGCACAACGACGAGAGGGAAGGGCTTGCAGCAACCGGGGGAGGAGCAAATGTCGCAGGTTTCCTCGTATGGTGAGCGCTCGGGCTGGCCTTTGCCTTGCTTTGTGATCTTCTCGTGGCCTGCCTGTGTTTTCACAGCGGGGTGTACCACATCAGGGAGACCCCTCTCTCAAAGAGCTGCGGGCGTCAATTTCCACCTGTTTGTGGAAAACCCCGCTTCAGCGAGTCATGCACCTACTGTCTGCGTAGCAGCCAAGACCTCTGGATACCTACTGTACCGGGTGAACGTACCTTTTTTAGATATAGGTTTCTACCAGCAAGGTGCAGCTGTTTCGCAGCAGCACAGTAGTGAAACGGTTCAGCGTTTACCTTTCTTTGTGAAGGCACTTTGCAGGGCAGGATCCAAGCCCCGATCCAAGGATTTTGTTGAGCTAAATAGCCGCTATTTTCAGAATATTATGATGCGTGTCCGTTGTTTTGTGGATGGAGGATGGAGAGGGATTTGTACAACATGGTTCAGTTCGGAAGCATTTTCAACGTTTCCGATACATTTTACAAATTGCCTTGGACATAAACGTGGGCCACAGGCACGGCATCCGCGCCCCGTTGGTGTGTTTTATCGTGGTCGATGGCGCGCATGCACAACCACCTGGCGCCGTACACACAGTCGGCGTCGGGGGATCATCGGAAGGAACGGAGGAACACAGCACACAAATCCCGAATTTACGCAACGTGTATGAAGTACTTGCTGTAATGCATAAGGCCCGTCCGTGTATCCACGTATCCACCATGCATTTGCACTTTCAGCGCGTGTCCACCCAGGGTGTGCTGTGAATCGCCAATGCCGAGGGCGAAGAAGAGACAGACATCTCGATTTTCAGGGACGCCGCAGCAACGTGACTGCTATTGCTATAAGCGATCATCATGATCTCAACCTCTCATGACTTGGAGCCTGTTGTTTCGGCCAAACATATCCAGTTTAGACTGTATTCCGACTGCCATGATCGCTCCAGCTGTCTTTTTCTCGGAACGTGCCGCCGCCGTGTTGCCGTGTTGGGATGAGTCCTCGCAACCCCAACCCCCATCGATTGAATTTCGTACTTCGAGTTACTTCGTAGATAGATACATGTAGGTCGTTGCTCGACACCAAGACGCTGACTGCCAATCAATCAACGCCAAAAATATTTGTCTCGGAAAGATCTAGCCAAGAGCTTTTGCCTCGCACGCCATCGGTCGGTGGTCGCAGCAGACGCCTGGGATGCGACTACAACATGCACGCAGTACCCAACCGGTTTCCCTCCATTCACTGTAAAGATTCCAACACATCCCGTTCGACTGTGGTTATATCTCGAATTGCTAGTCTTTCCGTGTTTGTATTCATGGTTCCTAATGCACGGCGGTCGTCGACGCGACATGGATCACGCTTGCAACATATAAAAGGCGGACCGCCCTTCGATATCGCTCTCTTTGAGGGAAGATGTTACTCGGTAGTAGGGATTGAGGATTGAAGCGTGAGCTTCTGGTTCTTTTGCAGATTCACTGGGCCTTGCTCGAGCACTCATCAAGATCGGGCTTCTCCCGGTCCGGTATTGTTCGCCGGCCAGGTTCTTGCACAAGATTGGCGCCTACGGGCGTTGCTCCTATTCCTATTCTCTCACGTCGTTTGCGCCCCGCCGCACGTTGGATGTGCGCGTCCGTCCCATCTAGACTACTCTTGCGCCAGTCCTACTATTGCCTTACACACCGTCAACACCGTTCAGTGCACATTTTTTAGGAAGGTCGCACCTGTGGAGATTTTCTCACATCGTAAGTGCTTTGTTTCACTGCCCCACCACCGTGCCCTCCTGCGGTGCTTTAGTGGTCTCGGTATTCACTGTAGTCAAATCGCGAAAGACGCCTGCGTACCAATCCCTCGTAGACTAGTCTAGACCATACTGTCGACTTGACCGTAGAGGTTGCGATGAAGTACATCCTTCAAAGTTTACCCGTCTGGCCACGCCATACCTATCGACCGCTGTAGCGGATGCCCCCCACACGGGTAGGCTCTGTTTCTCTCGAGAGAGTCGCGCGAAGATATGCGAGGCTGATGTTTCTTGCTCCTGCTACGGCAGGTTCTGACGGCGGTAGCCCTGGCGAGGTTCCTCCGAGCGGGATCTCTTCGTACGGGTACTCTTCCTTTAGCGGCAGCGACACCTATGGCGCCGAGTACGCCGACCTCCTAGCGAAGTTCGAGCATGACCACACGCCAACAGATGTCGGTAAGTGCAACTACGTTTACAGTTACGAGAATATTCCCGGGAGAATCAAGCCGCGGTAGATGCGTTTAATTGTCGCGTTTCCCGAAGTTGAACGTGAAACCCAAGGGAGGTGTTTGTTGTGGGTCTCCCTACTGTCTACAGTTTTCCTAAACCGCCTATGGGCACCACGTTGGGCCCATGGGCTGCCCGTGCGGAATCCATGGGCACGCCCATGAGCAGCCGATGGGGAATGCCCGTGGGCAAGCTCATGATGAGTAGCCCGTGGGTAGCCCATGAGCGGCCAGTTAGTGCCCTTCAACCGGAACCAGTGTTCTCCTAAACAATATATTACTTGCTTTGGAACGGGCATTATAGCGGCTAATAACCCTAACGGTAACGTTAGCCCTAACCCTAAGCCCACGCGATACGTGCTAGGTTGATTCTAGGTTGATGTGCCGGTGGCGAAGTTCTAGGTTAAAGTGCCCACGGTGGGCACTTCATCGGTACAGTAGTGCATGGGCTGCCCATGGGCCCACCCATGGGTGTCCCATGGATGGTTTTGCAAAACTGCCAGTAGTGTGGGAGATGATATGTTGTGTGCGCGTTGTTTCCGCAGTCAAAGGGTACCTCGGGGCAGCAGTTGGTGAAGTTCGGCGGGACTCCGAGTCGTCGATCCTTTTGCCGACTGCTTGCTGTGGGGTGCGAGTCATCATCATTTGGCACGGGTCAGTGGCGAAGAAAGCGGCAAGCAAGGCATCGGGGAGCTCTTCTCTTCTTGTTTGCATGTACCATTTGCTTCGGACGACTTCGCCGAGTGTTCATCCCTGTCCCTGTCATTCTTTTCTTCCTTAGATAATAGTCTAGGCTACAGAACAGGCCCTGCGATAAGAAACGTCAACGGTAGGTTGAGGCTCACATTCTTTTTTCATCGCCACTACTGTCGAACACAGGCTGGTATATGGTAGAGTTTGGACTAGGATCTACCGCTGGGCTGTATTTCTTATCCCTATCTTCGTATTTTTCATGAAACTTGGAGCCCCTGTTTGCCAACGAATATTTCTTGTTGCTTACCTGCGGGCCCGTTCTACGGTACAGCACGGAACTATGACCCCTGTAGTGGTACTTCACGGACGCATGATGGGTATTCCACAGAAAAGCGAATCACGATCTTTCGTGAGAAGCGCTTGACACCCCTGGCTGCTCACGAGCCCTCCTCGCGCTAACCCTTTGGCGTGCGTGTGTCGTTGCTTCGTCGCACATAGGCATTGCTTGGTTTCTGCTGGTGGTCAGCAGCGGACTCCTTGTCGTAATGACCGGTGTGATGTTCCTCCTCATCAAGAATCGACACGTCTTCGAGATCAGGGCAAGGTGGGTGTCCGAAAAAGCGCAAACCGCGTTTTACCGGCCCACTGCGGTTACAAGTTTAGAGGAGGCGTTTTTAGGACGGCCTACATGTAGATGATACTAGTGACTCCAGTGATGAAGATCGTGTATCGAATTGCCATATTCGATCTCGATGTATCGGCGATCCTCAATATTGAATCGCTGAAATATTTTGCAGATATCGCCGATTCTGAATCGAGACTGGAGATCGATTATCGACGATTGATTCCGATTCCGATTTTTCAAGCAGGGGGGCAAACCGCACATACCCCCCTTCAATTGATACATATGGCACCCCCCTCCACCGCACGCGGGTGCTGGGTGCACAACGCAACAGGTATTGGAACCATATTTCCCACAACGCATCCTTTCGATATTATATCCTCTTCCTCTTGGTCAAGGGGGGGTGATGTGTCTCACCTGCGGTATTTTGCCACCATATCGAGATCGAAAGATCTATTGTCCGAATATCGGCCACCTCGGTGAATATCAGAAAATATCGAAAAGCGGCACTTTTTTTTTTTTTATATCGTATCAGCAACCATTTCCAACACCGTGTATTAGTCCGTAAGTGTCGAAGGTAATGCTGTTACACTTTAACGCTCGTTTCGAGAAGCGGCTTGTCTTGAGGGGGGCGATGAAACGCGCATGCTTCTTCCTGGAGTTTTGCCCAAAGTATTCTTCTTGTTGCGGCAATACGAAGCGAGCTCGCCGGAATCAACCGTTTCTCAAGAAATTACATACGATCACTGAAGCCTACCCGTTCGTCTTTTCGTTACGGTCATGACGGAATTTTCGAAACAGCAGCACGATCACCGTATTTTTTTGAAGATGATGAAGATTTCACATAGGTACTCGCGTTACCGAGACGCCTCTATGCTCTCGCTGCATGCAGCATACCTTGGGGCCTACGCCTGTGGGTTGGCTGGTGGGAGAGCCCGCTACAGAAACGTTCTTGCGTGAAGACGACGATCGTTTGACGTCGGAAGATGATACCTACTTGCCCAGACCACGTGCGTAATGCGCCCGCATCACCCCGATTCGGAAGCCATTATCCCGCTTCCCGACACAACCCAACTACCCGATTCGAAAGCCAAAAGGATCCGTTTCCCCTCAAGAGAACGCCGTGTCTATCGTTAAAAATATCGCGTCTCGTGTCTTCGATTTCCCCCTCACGCGTTTCTCCTGCTACGTTGCTGGTCAACCAAGGTCCGCCTGTCTGGTGATGCTGTTGGGCGCTTCCACGATGACGGCGCTGGCGATGAACATGGTCGGTCAGTCGGTGGTGATATTCAACGCTCTTCCAAACCTCTACACCTTTTTCATGGCGAGTGCTTCAGCATCGCATAGCTTTGTGATTTGTTTTGCGGTTTGCAGGCGCGAGGGGGTATGTGTTGCTGTGTGCGTTTTATGTGTTACCTAACCGTTTGTACAGAGTTTTCTTCCCGGGTTTGCTAACAAGAAGACGTCAGCCTTGCAGGTAACTGGATTTTAGAATGCTAGAACAGCGCTCTTGTGCGTGTATCGACCGTCCTTGTCTCTTTTTGTTTTTTCTTATTCCTCCGCCTCGGGTTCTTTGTCTCTCGCCCCCCCCCCCCCACCCACCCTGACGACACAACGCCCGCGACAGACGTAAAA